GACCCGTGGACCACCTCCTCACTGTGCAGCGCCTCTGACCCGTCACCCAGCTCCTCAGTGTGCAGCTCCTCTGACCCGTCACCCAGCTCCTCAGTGTGCAGCTCCTCTGACCCGTCACCCAGCTCCTCAGTGTGCGGCTCCTCTGACCCGTCAACCAGCTCCTCAGTGTGCAGCTCCTCTGACTCGTCACCCAGCTCCTCAGTGTGCAGCTCCTCTGACCCGTCACCCAGCTCCTCGGTGTGTAGTTCCTCAGACCTGTCAGCCCTCTCCTCTATGTGCAGCTCCTTGGATCCGTAAACCCATCTCCTCTAAGTCCAACTCCATGGACCTGTAACCCCTCTTCTCTGTGTGCAGCTCCTTGAATCTGTCATCCAGCTCCTGTGTGCAGCTCTTCAGACCTGCCATTTTGCTCCTTTATGTGAAGCCCTATGAACCTATCACCTCTCTCCACTTGGTACAAATCCTTGGATCTGTCACCAACTCCTCTGTGTGCAGCTCCTCTTACCTCTTAGCCCTCTCCCCCATGTGCAGCTCTTTGGACTGGGCATCCCTCTACTCTATGTGAAGCCCCTTAGACATGTCACCACTCTCTTCTGTGCGTAGCTCCACTGACCTGTCACCCCTCTACTGGGGTGCAGGTATTGCAGCTTAAATGCTTTATCCAGTGTTTACCTCAGTTATCATAGCTTAAATGCTCTCTGTTTTATAGAGGATACAGAACCAAAACATACCTAGCATCAGTGGAAGGAGCAGCGAATTGGTGGAGGAACATGTAGTGATTGGACTCTGCCTGCACAGTACAAATAGTCCCCCAACAGGGGTTTGTGGTGAAGCTTTGCCAACACTCCAACCTCACAATGTAAATGGATGTTTTAGAATAAAGTTGTGAGTGTATAAAATTAACCTTTATGCTGGAATAATAAGTTGACGTCCCTGGACTTATAAGACCTGTTTATACTATATGAAAGATCTAATATAATTGAATATTGCATTTATAATATGAAGGAAAGGAGGAGGGTCTGTAACCATTTGGGAAAATGTGGGTAGGTCTTTTCAACAATGTTTTATTATCTTGCCGTTTTTATTTTTTGATACATCTGCCTGATAGTGAATAACATGTAATCACTGTTTTGCTTGAATGCATGCTGTGATGTACTGATTGTTAAGGCTAGATTCAGATGTCGGCGATCCCGGGAGCGCACAATGGTACGCAACGATTGCCGTTTGGCCCCATTGATTTCAATGGGGTTGAAGGTTAAAATGGGGTACATGTACCTCTTTTTGCGACGCGCACCACACAGTTTTTTAAACCACGATCATGGGCGATTTCATGGGCAGTATCACGGAGGGAAACCATGCAATCTGCCTGGCTCAACTGGGTGTCATTAGAAAATATTGTTGGCCTTTTATAACATTATTGCAATCAATAGTAACTTACTGATGCTTTAGTACATTTTCACATGTAGAGAGTCACTTTAACCCTTTCGCTGCCACCGACGTAAGGCATACGGCGGAACAAAAGCGTTCCCGGCTGGCCAGCTCAGTATGCCTGACTGTCCCCGTCAAAATAATAGCTGTCATCAGCGGCTCACAGGCCGCTGATGACCGCTATTACTGAAAATGTGCATGATTTTTTTAATGTTTTTTTTTACTTAAAAAAAAAAATTAAATTAACTGTGGCGCTTCGCAAACCTTTGTGGCGC